CGGTCCTGGTTGGCCCAAATGTTCTTTCCCCCCGACTTCAGCCCAGCATGTTTCAGAATATCCACTGCTGCATCCCGCTGGCCCGAGTCCTGGAACTCTGCGAACATCACTCCGCCGAAGTCCACCTTCGAGTAAATCTTGGACGGGTTTGGGCCTTTTAGCGATGAGAGTTTATCCTGAAGCCACGTGCTGGCAGCGTCGAGGGAGTCGAGCGAGTCGAGGTTTCCCACTACTGCTGCAATACTGCGTTAATCCCCCGACCCCTCACCCGTCATGCTGTTCCCAACCGAAGCTTTCTGGGGGGGGCGCATGGAAGGTGTCACCCTTGTCGGAAATCTGTTTGACGATGTTCTCCAACGTGTCGATTCTGACCTCGGTTACGTCAAGGCGCTTCTCAACTGAATTGAGGCGGAGCTCCGCCGCGTCCGTGAGGCTGGTCAGCCGCAAGTCGAGGTTGCCGTCTCCTTGCGGAGGAGGCCCGCGATACCCTTCATGGTGATTTGCTCCCTTCCCTCCTGCTGGGTGTCGTCCTCCACTCCATCGAAGATCAGTTGTTCGACTGGTCCTGGAATGTGTTCCTCATCATCCTCCTGGTCGTCCTCCATCTTCTGGTGACCCTCCTTCGGGAGAAGAGGTGAGAAAGGAGAAAATGTAACCGAGTGCTTGATGCGCGGTTTCTTGAGGAACGGGTTATTCAACAATTTGTCCACAGGTGTGCCTGGTGCTCGAGACGACGACGCTGCGAGTGCATCCGACGTCGATCCAACCTCCTGCTGCGGAGAAGCTCTTTGTATGCGCAGCATACTGTGTCTTATGTTCGCACGCACCTCGTGCGCGTGCAGGTGCGCGCACGCCTCTCTCCGCAACCATTTGGCCTTCAGGAGTGGGTGGGTGGGTCATGTCTGATGTGCTTGGCCTCATTCGCACATGGGGTCAGATACTGCCAGGAACGCGTTATGGCGCTTCCGCGGTGCAGCTCTCATGCCAGGCCTCCAGCTCCCTTGGGGGGCTGCCGCGCCCGATGCGCTGGCGGCGCCGCGAGGCTTGAGGTGGGCGCTCTCGGCGTTCGACGAGCCCGTGGAGGGGGCGGGGCCCGGCACGGTCGCTCCGTGACCAGCCCCAGCGGCACGACGGGAAGCATTGCTGCGCGCCCCTGCCGTCCCAGCCAGTGAGCACGAAGAGCGAGAGATGCGCCTCCGTCAGTGGGAGGTGATCGCGAAGGCCGCAGGCCCGCACTGCCGCCTCAACCGGGATGCGGAGCGCCTTGATCCCGCGGCGGCCGCAGAGCTGCTTCGGAACGTCTTCGCTGACAAGGCCACGAGCACGCTCGCCAAACGGGGCTGCTCCATGGCCCTGTTCCCGAGGTGGGCTGGGCAGGCGCTTGGAGGCGCGCAGGCGGCCTTCCCGCTGACCGAGCAGGTGGTTTACGATTACGTGGAGTACCTGCGCAAGGACGGCGCCCCGGCCACGCGTGCCAGGAGCTTCGTCGAGGCCGTGTGGTTCAGCTCTGGCACCGTCGGTATCGAGGTGGAGGCGACGATCGGCAGCGCGCGCGTCCAAGGCGCTGTCGCCCGGAGCTGGGCGACGAAGCGCTTGACCGTCAAGGCCAGGCCGCTCGCCGTGCGGCATGTCCGCATGCTCGAGATCCTTGCTAAGAGCGGCTCATCCCCTCGTGTGCGCGTGGAGGCCGGCTTCCTCTGCGAGCTGGTGCACGCGCGCGGCAGGGCTTTGGATATTGCGCGCATCACGGCCGAGCCGTACCTCGACGTGGTGGACGGGAAGGGCTTCATCGAGGTCGTGGCGGCGAAGTCGAAGACGACCAGGGGCCTCAAGCGCGCCCGCCTGGGTTTGCCCGTCGCGGCGGTGGCAGAGGGCATTACAGGCACGGAGGGCGGGACCTGGGCTGCCGGATGGCTCCGAGCGCGCGAGGAGCTTGGACTCCTCGCTGGGCCAGGCCAGGTCCTCATGCCAACGGCAGCTGAATCAGGCTACCTCGTCACCGACGTTCCTGCGTCGGCGCCTCAGGTCTCAACGATGCTTCGCCGATTGCTCAGCCAGGCAGGCGTCCCCGGTGAGGAGCTCGGCGACTATTCGTCGCACTCGTGCAAGGCAACTGTATTGTCGTGGCTGGCTAAGGCGGGGTACAGCATGAAGTCCCGGAGGTTACTCGGGGGCCACATCAAGCCAGGCGAGCGCGTGCCCATCGAATACTCCCGGGATGCCCTCGCGGGTCCTCTGAGGGAGGTGGTCCAGCTTTTTGAACAGATCAACTCGGGCGCATTTGACCCCGACGCCACACGATCTGGAAGGTGGACCGAGGGTCAAGAAGTCGCCCCCCGTGGAGGCGATCATGACGTTCATCGCGCGTCCCATGCATTGGGCAGCGAAGGTGTTGCTGGAAGCTCTGGGGGCGCTGGGCCAGCCGCGTCACCGACGGGGGCGGCCCCGCGGGCAGCAGGTGCGAACACCGAGGACGATGCAGCTACAGGGAGCGGCCCGCATCGCGAGAATCCAGCCTTTGGGCAAGATGACTGCGAAACCAGAGAAGGCGAATCGGACGGCGCAGATTCTGACACAGACGCCTTCGACGACGACGTCGCGGAGGACCACGAGGCGCGAGCGGCCTGCGAGATCATCATGCACGACATGCCCGGGCAGTTCGACACGCTGGACATTCCAGCGGGCTTCGACGTCTACTTCAACCCCCGGAGCTACGTCCGCCACCTTCTCCCGCTGAGCGAGCCCGCGCCCGGGGGTAGGTTCGCGTGCGGCCGCACAGCCTCCGTGGAATGCCGCGCAGGTGGATCCGGCATTCAGCCTGTTTGTAAGCAGTGCCAGAGCGCGGCCCGTCGCTGACGGCCGGGAGACAGAAAGGGCGCCGCGCGGGACGGACCGCGCGTCGCGACAAAATGGCCTCGGCCATCTGTAGGGCAGCGGAAGACGCTGCCGGCGGCGACGGGAGATGTCGCCGCCGCCGCGGGCAGCCTGCGGAAGACGCCGCTGTTTAGGTTCACCCGAGAGCGGCGTGCGAAAGACGCCACCGCTCTGGCCCTGGGAGGTTCGCGGAGGAAGCCCGCAACCGCTGGGGGGCCACGGGCAGCATGCGAAAGACGCGGCTGCTGCAGCCCATCCAGGGACTGTCCGCGGTCGTTTCTAGGGCAGCGAAAGACGCTGCTGGCGGTGACGAAAGACGTCGCCGTGTCTAAGGCCACGGGCAGCCCGCGAAAGACGCGGCTGCGCTGGCCCATCCGCGAGCGGCCCGCGAAAGACGCAGCCGCTGCGGCCGGGAAGGTCCCGGAGGGGGCCACAGGCAGCCTGCGAAAGACGCAGCTGCGGCAGCCCCTTCCAGAAGACGACCGCGGCAATGTTTAGGTCAGCAAAAGACGCTGCTGGCGGTGACGAAAGACGTCGCCAAGCCTCGGGCCGCCAGCAGCCTGCGAAAGACGCGGCTGCACCGGCACACCCATGAGGAGAAGGATTCCTCCTCCCTTTTCCACTTCCCCTCCTGTGGGCCCGGGGGGGACCCCATTTTGTTAAGTCTGCCCCCTGCGGCCGGGGCCGCTGCCCAGCGTTCCAGAGCGCCCGAGTGGGCGCCTCTGGACCCGCCTACTCTCAGAGATTCCGGAGTGCCACTCGGTGTACCGGTCCATCCGTGCATCTTCGGTTGCACGGGCAGCCTGCGAAAGACGCGGCTGCATTCCAGAATGCGCACATGGGGTGAGATTTATTTTCTACGCAGGTGAGAAGAGACAGCAGCTGCACCGTCAGCCGTACTCGTGAGTGATAGGCCAATCGACCAATGAGCATCGTGACATCCACATGCGTGCACGTCGGGGTCTGGCGGCCGGGATTGGTCGGAAACGATTTGGGGGCTAGAAGGGGAGCTAAAAGCCTGTCCCGAAAGCGGGCGGCAGTCGGCGAAAGACGCCGTTGGCCCGGCTGCGGGTCCGATGTCCTTTTCGGTGTATCTTCGGTGTACCGGTCCATCCGTGCATCTTCGGTTGCACGGGCAGCCAGCGAAAGACGCGGCTGCAGTCCAGAATGCGCGCACGGGGTGCCATTTATCCCCGAGTGGGCGCCTCTGGACCCGCCTGCTCTCAGAGATTCAGGAGTGTCACTCGGCCGATGAGGAGGTTGAGGTCGTTCCTGGGCGGGCGCCGTGCATTTTCGGTGCACCGGTCCATCCGTACATCTTCGGTTGCAAGGCCAGCCTGCGAAAGACGCGGCTGCAGCCAGAGTGCGCACACGGGGTGCGATTTATTTTCTCCGCAGGTGAGAATAGACGGCGGCTGTACCGTCAGCTGCGCTCGTGAGTAGGTCAGCTTAGAAGGCCTCCGGGGGCCTCCGGAAGGTCACCGAGGTTATCTATATAAGGACGGCCTGCGAAAGACGCAGCCGCTCCATATGTTTTTGAGTGGACCAGCCTATCCGCCAAAAACCGTCCGGCCAGGTTGACGTCGCCACACCCGGCCGGTGACCTCAGAAGGCCTCCGGGGGCCGCCGGAAGGTCACCCTGGTTATTTATATAGGACGGCCTGCGAAAGACGCGGCCGTTCCAGACCTATTTTGAGTGTACCGGCCTATCCGCCAAAGAACCGTCCGGCCAGGTTAACGTCGCCACACCCGGCCGGTGACTTGAGCAGGCCCCCGGGGCTTCCGAGGTCACCGAGGCTATTCGTATAAGGACGGCCGGCGAGAGACGCAGCCGCCCCAGACTATTTTGGGTGTACCGGCCTATCCGCCAAAAACCGGCGCGCCGGCCCATCCGCTATCGTTTTGGGTCCGGCGTGGTTCTCCAGCCTACTCGGCAAGCCCCTCATCCACGCTCGGTCGGGAGGGGGCGCGTAGAGCCAGACCCAAAAGAGGGCGGCACGCGGTGGAAGTCACCGGAGGCCGAGCTGTCATTAGCAGCCCCCCCTTGCTCGTCTCGTCCGTAGCCGTGTAGGCCCAGGCCGTGCCGGCAGGTGATTACTTAGCTCGTCAACAACCGCGTGCCGGCGATGCACGCGAACGCCATCGACTCCGAGGCGGTCTTCCAGCAGCGCGTCGAGGAGCTGGGTTTGAAGGCCACGTTCGCCAAGTTCAAAGAGTTCGGCTGGGCATCCCATGGGAACTTCGCCTTCGCCATGGCGAGCGGCCCAGGGGGCGTGGTCGAGGACGAGAGGTTCGTGAATGCGGTCATCCGCCCGCTGTTCGGCTTGGGCCCGGAGGCGCCGCCGCCTCCGCAGACCGCGGCCGTTCGCAGGCTGTTCTTCGAGTCCCACGCGCTCGCTGTTGGCGAGCTCCGCCAGCGCACGGAGCGGACGGACTCAGACCTGCCCCGGAAAGTCCCCCAGGCCGAGCGGGAAGCTCGTAAAGATCGTCTCCGGACCCGCCTCGAGCCTGGCGTCGTGGTCAGAGGCGAGCTCGAGCCGGCCAATTCGCTCATCGACCGCTTCGTGCAGATGTGCGAGGACAATACCTTCACGTGGGTGCCGTGGGAGGAGGCGCCCAAGCGTGACCAGGAGATCACCTCGCAGCCGGGCAAGCGCAAGTGGGGGCCTGACAGCGAAGGCACGGTGAAGGAGCGCGTCGTGAAGGACCCAGTGAGCGCCGACGTCTCGTCGGCTCTCAAAATATCATGGGCTCTGCAGCGTCGCGGACTTGCAATGGACATTGCGGGCGTGATGAGCTACGAGCAGCACGAGCTGATCCGCGCGAAGCTCTTTGAGGCGCTAACCCGCGAGGTTCCCGACGCCCAGCGCTACGTCCCCCCTGACCTGTCTGACCTCCGGGCGGCCGACAAGGAGATATGGAAGAAGATGTCCCAGGCGTGCGCCAAAGGCATCCGCCCTGCATCCGCGGCGGACCCCGTGCCTGCGGACGCCCACGTCCAGAACATCCTTGACTCTGTCGAGGTCAACATGCTGCTCGCGCCCAAGGTCCGGACCGCTTCCAGCGTTTCTAGCACGAAGAGGGGGCGCGTCGAGGGCGATGACAGCATCGGCATCGAGCAGGCCCGGAAGCGCGCAAAGGGGCAGCAGCCGCAGCAGCAGCCGAAGGGCCAGGGCAAAAAGGATTACGACAAGAGGGGCAAGGGGCCAAAAAGGACCCCTCTCCCGAAGGAGCTGCAGAACGGCGGGGTCGCCGCCCTGCCGGACGGCACGCCCATCTGCTTCGGGTTCAACCTCAGGACGTGCAGGGAGAAGGTGAACGGGAACAGCTGCCGTCGTGGCCTGCACGTCTGCTGCAAGCGCGGCTGCGCGGCCAGGACCCCCGGCGGGGATCCTAGCCACACATTCCTGGATTGTACCATGTGAGAGTCAGGAGGGCGACCGAGCGCCCCAGGCCCTCGGCCGAGCGCACCCTCTACTCCCACAAGGGGGTGCGCGCGTGACATCTCGTTCATTGGCCCTTCGGATCTGTACATCGGCCGTGGATGCGATAGATTGAAGGCCGGGCGGTCCAAATGGGCGAATCCGTTCAAGGCCGCGGGGGGCGGGGGCAGACCCCTTGCAATTGCTAAGTTTTCCACTTACCTTCATCGGTCGAGCGATCTCCTGGCCCAGCTTCCTGAGTTGGGAGGGCGGCGTCTCATCTGTCACTGTTTCCCACGCGAGCGCTGCCACGGCGACGTTCTAATTCAAGCATACAAGGATCTGAAGTGCAGCGAGGGCGAGGGCCCCGCGCGCTCGGATCGGAGTTTTGATGCGCATGCCTCTTCTGCGCCTGGCATCGGCGCCGCCGCGCGTGGCGCCGGCGAGCAGGAGTGCCCTGAACAACTGTGCGACGTCGTCGCAGAAGCGGTGGACGGTGAGCGGGCCGCCGCTGTCGACGGCCGGGCAGACGCGCCTCTGTCCTCTGGAACCCGTGCGCCAGATGTGACCGGAGCTCCAGCGCATCAGCTGCCGTTCGTCGACGGCCGCCCCGACGCTCAGCCAGGCGTCGGGCATGAGCGTCCACCGCAGGCGACCGATCGCAGCAGAGCTGGCGGCGAAGCGCGGCCATGGGTGCCCGTCGGGAGGCAGAGGGCCAAACTCGGCCACAGTTTGGTGCCAGGCCAGAGTTCCGCGAGATCCTCAGCACGGATATGGATCCAGATGGCTTCGTGCTCAGGGAGCCCATCAGTGGGGAGATACAGAGGCCAGATGGCACGGTCATCCCTGCGGGCGCCATCCCCTTCAAGTCAACGGAGAGCACGGGGGGGCATTCCGGGTTGAATTTCGGGGTGCCTTGGTCCCCTCAGCAGTTCCTCGATGCAGCCATGGGCGCGAAGCACCCTTTCGATGCCCGGCCAGTTGTGGACGACAACGTAGCAGAGTGCATCTTCAATCTTTTGGCCACCCCGCTTGACGACATCAAGACGGGCGCGGGCGCTCTAGAGAGGGCCTGGGCTGACCAAGCGAGTGCCCTGGCAGTGCGCGAGGCGGCCCTCCACGCCCAGATGGACGGCCACGTCAGGAACGTCATGGAGGGCAAGAACATTCTGCTGATGGCGAAGATGCTCAAGCAGATTGGGCACGTCGATCATGATCTCCCTCGAGACATGGCGACGGGCTTCCGGCTGGTCGGCCGCTTCCCGCACAGCAAGGTCTTTCCCTTGAAGCCGGAGGGTGCCGTTGAAGAAGGGCACGACAAACGCTGGTTGTGGGAGCAGGCGCCTGCCGTCAGAGCTTCCCTCAAGGCGGCCGCGGCCAGGCCCCGTCGTAGGGATGACACCGAGCTCGAGCGCGAAGTTTTTAAGAAGACCATTCTCGAGGCCGAGAGGGGCTTGGCCAGCGGCCCCTACACAGAGGCCGAACTTGACGAGATGCTCGGGCGGCGGTGGCTGCCTAGCCGGCGCTTCGGGGTGGCCCAGGGCGAGAAGGTGCGCCCCGTCGACGATTTCTCTGCGTCGCGAGTCAACGATGCGGCCACAATTCTGGAGAGCACCTCTTGGGAAGGGGTGGACGGGATTGCGGCGATCATCAAGCTTTGGTGCCGCCTCCTCAGTGGCCCGGTCGACATGCGCCTCGCGCTCCAGTCGGGCCGGGTGCTGACCGGCAAGAGGCAGTGGCGCGACGACATGCTGGTGGGCAAGTGTTTTGACCTCGAGGAGGCTTACCGGCAGCTCGCAATTTCGCCCATAGACCGGGACTGCAGTGTCATCTCGTGCCCAGATCCCGACGATGACGGCAAGCTGTCGTATTTCATCCTCCACGGCTTGCCTTTTGGTGCCAGAGGGTCCGTGTTGGGGTTCAGCAGAGCAGGAGCGGCATTGAGGCTATGTTGTTGTCGCTTGTTTTCGGCGCCGGTCATAAATTACTTGGATGATTTCCCCCTTGTGGTCCCTGAGGTGATTGCGACGGCCACCGAAGAAGCCTTCAGAGCAGGTATGCGGGTGACCGGCTGGAGGCTCAAAGATTCCAAAGATGTGGACTTCAGCGTTGTATTTTCTGCTCTCGGCGTCGATTTCGATGTCGCGGAGGCTGTGTCGCACGGCAAGCTAGTGGTAGCCAACACAGCGAGTCGCAGAAAAGCAATGCAGGAGAAGATCTCCAACATCCTTGATGCTGGGGTGCTGTCTCCGCCTGAGGCGGCCAGCCTGGTCGGAAAGCTGCAGTACGCCGCTGCCCAGATCTTTGGCCGTTGCGGGGCAGCGGGTCTGTGGCACCTTCGCCGCAGGGCGGAGGGGAAATGCCCCGGACGGAAAGTGAGCAAAGTGCTGGAGGTCGCCTTGAGGTGGTGGCTTGAGTACCTCGAGGCGGCGCGCCCCCGGACGGTCCGCACGACAGGCGCCCTCCCGCCCCTCGTCCTCCTCACCGATGGGGCCTGCGAGGGGGAGGGGGAGGAGCTGAGGGGAAGCATCGGGGCGGTCATGATTGACCCCGTCTCGAAGACAGCGGAGTCTTTCGGATGCGTCGTGCCCCGCGCCCTCATGGACCTCCTCCGGAAGGAGACGGGCCACCAGCAGCTCATCGCCCAGCTCGAGATTCTCCCGATGATCGCTGCTAGGCATAAGTGGCCAGACCACTTCAGCGAGGGCGGCGGGCGATCGGTGCTAGCTTTCGTTGACAATGACGGCGCCCGGTACGGACTCATCAAAGGGCACAGCCCCTCTGAGGTCAATGTCTGGCTCCTGAGTGAGTTCTGGGCTGCCGAGGAGCGCGCCCGGAGTGCGACCTACTTCGATCGGGTTCCGTCCGCGAGCAACGCAGCTGATGCGCCCAGCCGCCTCCAGTTTGGCGACTTGCCCACGGCGTGGGGACAGCCCATCCGCGTGGTTCGCCCGCCCAGCTTCGTGGGTGAGCTGATGCGGAGACGGGAAAAGGTCAAGGGGGGTTCGGCGGGTCTCCGCATAGACTCTCGCCGGGCCGAGCCCGGAACAAGCAGTGGCGAAAGACGCACTGAAAGACCATTTACCCCACGATAAAAAAATGAGCCTATCGTCATCGAAGCTGTCTTGCCCATCTCGAGGGGGATGGGGCGAGGTGCATGGAGCGGAGGAGGCGGTGTTGCTAAACATAAGCTCTTTGTATGCGCAGCATACTGTGTCTTATGTTCGCACACACCTCGTGCGCGTGCAGGTGCGCGCACGCCTCTCTCCGCAACCATTTGGCCTTCAGGAGTGGGTGGGTGGGTCATGTCTGATGTGCTTGGCCTCATTCGCCCAGCCCGCCCGCCCCGCGAAGGACAGGCCAAACCCAATAGAAGCAACCCTGAGAGGGGGGTTCGGCGGGTCTCCGCATAGACTCTCGCCGGGCCGAGCCCGGAACAAGCAGTGGCGAAAGACGCACTGAAAGACCATTTACCCCACGATAAAAAAATGAGCCGATCGTCATCGAAGCTGTCTTGCCCATCTCGAGGGGGATGGGGCGAGGTGCATGGAGCGGAGGAGGCGGTGTTGCTAAACATAAGAAATGGCATGTGTCTCCGGCATGGTGGCGTCGTGAAGGTAGGGGCATGGGGATGGATCGGTAGAAATGGATAGGTAAAAATGGTGTGCTCCCAGAGACCTTGAGAGTCTTGAGCTTGAGCCAAAGTTGGCTTGAGCCAAAGACCATAGCCATAGAAACCCAGGGGCAAAGAAACCCATAGCCCCTCGCTTGGTGAACAAAAATCTCGACAGGCTGCGTGTTGACGGTTTTGGGTCCCTAGGGGCCCTCGCCAGGCCCCGGGACCATCCAAACAGCTCGGGATTCCATGACGGTGCCCAGGAAGGGTTCCTGACCTCTGGGAGTCCACTTCGTGAGAGAATCATGCCGTCGGGTGTCTGGGAAGCGAGGACCAAAACAGGAGGGCTGGCTTGAGAAATGATGATCAGCAAGCTGCTGTTAAGAGCCTACGGTTTGCAGACCGAGGGCCCAAGAACAAGAGGGTTGGCGCGATGATGATGGTCAGCAGGTTGCTATCACGAGCTTGTTTCTTCGAAAGCGATTACCCCAACGCTTTGCGGGAGAAACGTAAGATGCAGGTTGTTTTATTTTCAGCGACAAACATGACTACCTAGGAACATCGAGAACCCAAACTCAGTAGGGCTGGCTCGGGAGATCATGGCCAGCAGGCTGTTCTCAAAAGCCTGAGTTGGATGAGCGAGGACCAAACAAATAAGGGCTGGCTCGAGGAATGATGGCCAGCAGGCGGCTACCACGAGCCCGGTTTGGAAGAGCCAGGCCCCAAGCTCTTTGCCAGAGGCTACGTGGAAAGCGAAGCGTCGAGCAGCAGCAGCAGTCGGGGCGCGGCAAAGCTGACTGGGCACCGCGAAAAGTGGAGAGGGAAGAGAACGGCCGCGGAGGCGGGCCAAGGAGGGCGCAAGTGGACTCAACACGCAGGAGGGGCGGCTTGAGAAATACACTAATAAGCATGTTGCCTTAAAGAATTCCAGGGAGTCAACAGAGGAAAAGGTATCTATACCCTCGCCTCGTTTTTCACTTTGGGGGCCTCCTGGGAGGTCCTCGTCGCCACCGCTGGATTTGCCTCGAAATCCTGGTTCGAACGCACCCGGGGAGGTCCTGGGAGTAGAGCTCTCGATGGCTTTTTGTTTTCCCACGAGAGGTCCGGGGAAGCCCTGCCCCCCAGGTAACGATGTCGTGACCAGGCGAGCTTGTTGATGCCGCCTCTTCCGAGACAGGTTGTTGTCGGATGTTCGCGCCTCAATAGATGAGACAACAGCGCATGGCCATGCGGCTCCCTGCGAGGTCATCCGGGAGTACACAAACAACATCATAATCTTGGGCACCAGGATGTGGTCGCAGGACGCCGATATGGCAGCCCAGGACTCCTCCCCACTTGCACCAACAGTAGCACTGCGCAGTTCGGTTCACTAAGCACGGGCGTTCCTAGCAAGTTGCCCGAGAACCGATTGAGGGTGATTGCTTGCTTCTTCGATCGTGCATGCTCTCGCGTAGTAGGGTTCGGAGGATGTCGTGTCAGAGCTCTCTCAATCACACGCGTATGAAGGAAGGCGTCGATTCGGGAATTCCTTGTGGTGGCAAAAGAGGCCTTCAAGTTCTCCACATCTCAATAGCAACGTGGACGAACCATCCAATCGCACAGTCGACCGCTTGCCAAGCTCACGTTCCCGCTACGTCATGCTACCTGCTCAGTTTGTTCCTGCAGCTACTGCGGATCTGGCCAAGACCTCACTGCACCAGACCGTGTAGGCCAGCTTTGAATCAGGAATTGTTTTGGCACCCAGTCAGGCGAGCACGAGCCCATGTGGGTATCTTCCGATCTTTGAAGAGGTGTACATGTAGCTTTCGGCCGATCCACCATGGGACTTCCTTTTCTTTTCCTCCTGCCGAGGAATTCCTCTTGCTACTGCTCCTCATCCTCCTTGCGTTTCCCTCACATGTTGTATCTGTCTCGCGTTGCAGGTATCCGGAACGGCGAGAATCCAGAGGCCACGGCCTCACCAACCCGGCCCGAGCTAGGCCCAGACGCTTGTCCGCAGCGGTGGTGGTTTGTTCGTTCGTGAGGGTTCGGGATGCGTCGAACATATGGCGAAATCCGAAGCCTACCCCTGCCTCCCGTCGGTTCAGGAGAATGGACGGTTGGTGGGGGTGGGGTTCGAGCGTCGCCAAGAGATGCCCTCCTCAGGGCTGGGCTGGCGGAGCGGGTGCCTATGGGCAGCGGGGGGGCCGCTGCCCAGCAGAGCTGCGGCGCCCGCCCCCCGCAAGCCCGCACGTCGGACGGCGGCGAAAATGATCGCGTCGACGCCGGCTCTGAGCAGGCCTCGGCCCTCGGCCACACAGCGGTGTGTGTAGGTGTGTGTGGGTGCGTGGGTGTGTGGGTGTGTGGTGTGTGGGTGTGTGGTGTGTGTGTGTGCGACGATGGACCACGCACGGAAAGAGTGACCCTTCCCCAGAGCGACCCGCGGTGCGGACGCACGGGGGCTCCCCGCGCGATGCGACAGCGGCGGCCCGCGCGCTTGGGCTTGCCCCCTCGTGCCCCCCAGAAACCGCGCACCAAAGGCCACTCTTGCCTAGGATAAATCGTCCGTGGAGCCGATACGAGCGGTGCTGCGCCTGGAAGGCGCAAGCACCGATCCCAGGGCCAGTGCTCTTGGCATCGCCCGGACGTTTGAATCTTTCCTCGGCGAGGAACATCGAAGAGCATCCTGGACCATCGAGCAGTCAAAGCACGCGCAAAATTGCAGAATGCACGGGGAATGGACGTCCGAGCGATGACAAGGGCTGGCCAGGCCAAGTGTGGCGGCGGTGCACCGTTGTCGTCCTCCGAATTCATCCCCAGTGGCCTCATTCCACGTCTGCGTCTCCCTCTGGCCACCCCTCCTGCGTGGCCGCCCTGCGTGCCACCCTCGCCCGTGCGCCGGTTCTGCCCGCTCACGCTGCCGAGCAGACCAGTTACCCCTTCTGCCCTCCTGCTCTGTCACCCCTATCGACTACACGTCGTAAGTGCCACCCTTCGCCGGAGTGACCTTTGGTGCAGGCACATTGGGGTCCCCAGCTCGGGTTTGGCCTCCCCGCGGCCCCCGAACGTCGCGCACCAATTGTCACTCCTGCCTGGGATTACTCCTTGCGTGTTGCCGACCCTACAGTGGAGGCCCATGCCAAGAAACACCCTGCTTGCCTCCAGGGTGCCCTGGGTTTCGATAGTTTGCGATGGATATCGTAAAGTTCCCACACCAAAAAACGATGGACGTCCTCGGGTCTCAGGGTTGGGTTTCTTGCGGAAGGTTTCGTGTGGACTGGCCTCCACTGTATGTTTCACTATCCTTTCCATCCGTCTCTGTACCAACAACGCCGAGGCTCTGTCTGCGCACACTGCCCCCACGTTCTGACCCGCTGGCCGCTTCCTTTCCAGTACCGCCCTTGAGGGGTGCTGAGCGCGTTGGGCCATCGAGCGTATATGGGAATGTGCGTGCGGGCGCCGCTGGATTTGAGCTGGCTCATACCTCCGCTCCCGTGTCTTCTCCCCCCTGGGATCGCAGGACCCAGTGGAGGGCGAGAACCTGGCCTACACCATCCACTTCTACGCCGCCTCGATGGGCAAGGACACGCCGCCCAGTGCTTGTTGTCCCATGTGGTCTCGCCGCGGTACCGTCACGCGTCCCGGCACCGCCGGGCTTTTGCGAACCGCTTGCATGTCATTGCCTACGTAAGCTGCGAAACGGCGAGAGCCAGCCTCACAGCCTGCCACCTCCTCGGAGGACGCGCAATGGAGGGGAGGGGGGGCGATGCATGGGGGGGCAGAGAGGGCTGTAGAAAAGGTGCCCTCTAGGACCCCGAAAGGGGCCCTTCATCTGGCGATCGCAACCATAGATTAAGGAGGCGTGGATTAGCGACGGGCCCCGTTTCCATGGGAAATCCTGGATTTCCGCCGCCGAACGAAGCGGCACCGGCCGCATTTTGGGGAGGACATCTCCACCGATCCATGGATTAGGCGACCGCGCGCCAAATCCATGGATCGCGAATCCATGTTTGCGCGCCCCCGTCTTCAGGGCCCAAGAGGGGGGCACTCAGGGCCCGAACAAGGCACCGTTCGCAAACCCTCATTGATCCCCCCCCTCTTAATTCGCGCCCGACCTCCACTGCCCACCCCCGCGTCCTCCCCCCCGCCCCCTCTCCCCCCTCCCCCCTCCCCGTGCCCACCACGGAGGCCCACCGACGCGAGCAGGGGCCCAGCCTCAGACACCTGAAGAGGGCACGCCATCGGCGTTCGTGGCCTCTGGACCTCCCAGCTGCCAGCCACGCGGTCGCTCTCCGCCCTTCCGGCGTCGTCCCCCCGTAGAAGGTCCTCTTTTGCTTCTTCGATGCACTCGTTTTGGTATGCAGCACGTGCCGTGCTCGAAACACCCGTGCCTATACGTTGCGTGCTTGGGCTCAACGTGTGGGCCCCCGTTTCGGCGAATGTGCCCAGCATCAATACTCTGATGCGTGTTGCGCATCGGGGCAGCTAAGGGTCCCTCCGCCAGGGCTTCCCCCTCTGGAGCAACCTCACCGGAACCTCACCTATCCGACGCTCTTGCCCGAGGTCGTACCGACGCCGTGGGCGGGCCATCGGCGAGGCGAAGTGCAGGGGGGTGGGCAGCAGAGCAGTCAGGGGCATGAGGTCAGGGGTGGACTGGCCCAGGGGGGGGCATCGACCCCCAATTGTCCATTCCTCGCTGATCGAGGCCTGGGTACCTCACTCCGCCCAGGAGAGCTCGGTTTCGCGATCGAGGGCGTTTGGCCGATCTATCGGCGATGCATTGTCGATCCCACTTCAAGGTTCCCTTCTCTGAGCCAGCCCCACCCCTCCCGATCACCTTTTGTTCCGCAGGGCTTTTAGGGGGTGGGCATGGCTGGGGCCGAAGAAGGAAAGGCGACAGAAGAGAGAGGGAAAGAAAACAAGAGAGAGAGAGAGAGTGTGGACAAGAGCGGAGAGCGAAGGAAAGAGAGAGGGAGAGAGAGCAAGCGGCAAGAACGAAAGGAGGACTGGCGGCAGGCCCAGGGGGGAAGGCAGCAGGGCCCGGCCTTTTTAGAAGGCTCTGCAGAAGGCCTCGGACCTCTCGAGAAGCTCTCTGCGCCTTCTCTCCGAAGTCCCGTCGCCTTCTGCGAAGGCCCGTCCACTCTCGCAGGTCCCCCTTGGCTTGTGATGTTCCAACCGGCTTCCAGAAATCATTTCGAGCACCAACAAATAACGGAATTCGAGGGTTTTCACGCGTCGGGCCCTGGGAGACACTCGTCCGACACTGTTCCGACATGCGTCCGGAACTTTTTCGACACCCTTTGGACCTTTCTCACCGGGTGCTCGAACTCATGTCTGGGATGTTGTCTTTAAGCACGATGGGGGCAGCAGAACCCTTGGCGCGCCGCCCAGCGTAAGGAAGACAGAGGGGCAGATCAGCAGGAGAAAGACACAGACACAACGAATCGTCGATTCCCCAGAGAATATGGAACATATGGGAAGTGGGGGGAAGACAAAAACATAGTAAATATGCGAACATGTGGGGGATCCTGTTATTTGTGTATATTTATTTATGTGTCCCAGGGCCCCTTCAGCAGAGAGAGAGTGAGAGAGAGGCGAGGCGATAGGCCAGGGCACCAGGGGATCCGCGCCTGGCGAGCTCTTGGCAGCCGCAGCCGCAGCCGGGCGACGTATCTTAACCCGCCCGCTGGCGCAGCCGCCCGAGGAGCAGGATGTGCAGGAACACGAGGAGGAGGAGGAGGAGGAGGAGGAGGAGGAGGAGGAGGAGGAGGAGGAGGAGGGAACCCGGGCCCTGACCCCGAGAGGTCCCCGCAGGGGCCCCCGGGGAGGCCCCCGGCCTCCGGAGGCCCGCAGGGGGGCCCTCCGCGCGGGCCTCTGCGGGGACCCGGCGCGAGCCACGACCGCGGACCCGCTCCGGCCGAGGGCGAGCCCCCCCCCCTCGCGAGGGCCGCGAGGGCGGTCCCCCCCATAGCGGCGCGCGGGGGCCGAGAGCGCCCGCGGCCTGCGAGTTCCGAGAGCGCCCCCCCCCGCGCCGCCCTCGGGGGTCGCGGGCAGGGCTTGGCGCCCGCGCCACGGCCTCCTCTCTCCCGGGTGCGCCTCCTCCTCCTCCCTCCTCCGCCTCCTCCGCCTCCTCCTCCTCCTCCTCCTCCTCCTCCTCCTTTTCCTCCTCCTTTTCCTCCTCCTCCTCCTCCTCCTCCTTTTCCTCCTCCTCAGTCCTCCTCCTCCTCCTCAGTCCTCCTCCTCCTCCTCCTCCTCCTCCTCACCCTTCCCCCTCCTCCATTCCTCTTCCCGATGAAAATCATCCGGGGGGGCCTCCCGTGCTGCCGCGGCCCGCCGCGGCCTCTCCCCGAGCGCACCCGTGGACGACGACGGGGCGCCGCCCGCGCGAGGAGCTCCGCGCGAGGGTCTCCGACGCGCTGCGCGCGGGCGTCGCCGTCTTTGCCACGGACGTCGGGGGAGGAAAAGGTACCCATACCTCTACCCTTGCAGCCGAGTCGCTGAAGTAAGGAACAGGTTGGGTAAGAGAAGGGCTCGATATTCCTTCTATGGCTTTTCCTCTAGCCTTCCTCGTGCACGCAGGCGCTCGTGGGGGGCCAAAATGGGGCTTCGTTCCTTGTTTATCGTTCCTTCTCTCAGCAGCCCGACTGTAAGTCGGGCGTGCCCCTCTGCAGAAGGAGTGTTCAAAAATAGGCCGAACATGGCCTGGGGACGATGATTCTTCTTTTTGGGGATCTGTTTGCAAATGTTCTGGCTATTTTTACAATCTGTCCTCCCACATCCGCCTGTAGGAGGACATGCCCGACCTAAATCTACCCCCTCGCCCGTTTTTCATCTTTTTGGGACCTCCTGGGAGGCCCTCGTCGCCACCGCTGGATTCGCTCCGAAATTCTGGTCAGAACGCACCCCGGTGGAGGCCTGAGGAGTAGCGGCATCGGCACCTGGTTGGTCTCCCCAGGAGTGGGGTGTGTGCGAGTACACGGGCAGCGGCGCCACGGACCTGCGTTCTGCGCAGGCGGCGCCGCCGGGTGCCATCAGGGGCAGCGACAGGGGAGGATATGTGCTCACGGGGGGGATGCGGGCGCGTTTTCCTCGGCGCGGACGTATTCGTGGACTCTCGCCGGGTATCCACACTTGGGAGGCCTCCCAGCAGATATGCCTCGCCGAGAGCGGTCAATACATGTATCCAGGGGCGCCGATGGTGCATGCCTTCGGTGAGGCTCCCGGGCGAATACGTGTAACGCCCGCTCCTCCGCTATTCGCCCCAGTCGTCGCCTCCGAGCATCTCCGACCGGGGCCTGGTAGCCCGCTCCGCCCACTAACGTGCGACTTCGTCATCTGGACCCGATCGTCGATCCGTCGGTGATGTCTCGCCGACGCCAGGTCGATGCCCTCCCCCCTGAACCAGTCTGCCCCTGCCGGTGCCCCTCTTGGCGGGGCCGGGGGCCAGGCCTGCGATCCAGGGCGCTCTCCTCCCCGGCGAGCGCCGCCCGCGAGCGGCCGCCTCCATGGGGCGCCCCAGCGCAGCGGCGGGCTGGCGACGGGGCGGGCCAGGCCGAGCGCTTTCGCCCGACGCAGGCACAACGATCACAACGATCAGAGCGAAAACAGCGATCGAAACGATCGCAACGATCGTGATCGTTGTGATCGTCGTGGTAGTTGTGATCGTGCTGATCGTTGTGACCATTGTGATCGTTGTCGGTCGTTGGGATCGTTGTGATCGTTGGTCGTTGATCGTTGGCATCGCTTTCTCGCCGTCCCGCGTGGCGCCAGACCGCGTGACATCCCCTGGTGTTTCCGCGGCCGCACGGATCCAGGCGCGGGCCATGCATCGGAGACCACCTCGCCCGGGAGCGTTCGCTGTTTGCCCTCGGGAGCCCATCGCCGATCTGGCGGCGACCTGTCGCCGAATCCAGGTGGATGCTTCGGGCCCAAACGCCCTCGTGTCGTGAACAAGGAACACAAAACGAGCGACGCAGATCAACGGCGTCGTCTTCACCGGAATCGGCGCGCAAGCTGCCCGCGTAACGTCGTGCGTAGGCTCCCTCGTCTTCAGTTTGGCGTGCCGCACTGGCGGGCCGCGTAAGCCGCGGCGTACGGTCGCTGAGCCATCTCGCGCAAGACCCGATTTAAGCGTCGGTCATATGGGCACCCGGACAGATCCAGATACACCCGGAGCAGTCTTGGGGAATCATGGGGTCTCCTGCGCGAGCCGGGGGGCCGCAGAAGTCATTGAGGCCCTGCCGATCCTGCGCCTGCCCCTGGCCCCATTCCCACCCCCTCCCTCCCCGTGCTCCTCCTCCTCCTCCTCCTCCTCCTCCTCCACCTCCTCCTCCTCCTCCTCCTCCTCCTCCTCCTCCTCCTCCTCCTCCTCCTCCCCCCCCTCCTCCTCCTCCTCCTCCTCGTCCTTCTCCTCCTCCTCCTCCTCCTCCTCCTCCTCCTCCTCCTCCTTTTCCTCTTCGTCCTCCTCCTCCTCTTCGTCCTCCTCCTCCTCCTCGCCGGGCGGGGCCGAGCAGCGGAGAGGGCAAGCAGGGAGGGGGCGTGTTGCGCCTCTCCTGGCAGGCGGAATCCCTCGCCGGGCCACGGGGACAGTCAGCGAATGGCTTTGGGTGAAGCGGGGCCCCGGGGAAGGGGCCCAGACCTCTGGGGGGCGACGCCGTGGGCGAAGAGCGACGGCGGAGTTTCCAGGGGACGGGAGGCGTGCCCCGATCTGGGCAGGGGCGCTGGCAGCAGTCCTCCTCCTCCTCCTCCCCCTCCTCCTCCTCCTCCTTGTCCTCGTCCTCCTCGTCCTCCTTGTCCTCGTCCTCCTCGTCCTCCTTCTCGTCCTCCTCGTCCTCCTCCTCGTCCTCCTGCTCCTCCTGCTCCTCCTCTTACTTACAAGCAGGACCCGCCGCGAGGTCGAGGGCCCTAGCCTCACACCTCGGGGCAGTGAAATGGTTTTAGAGGACGGCCCCACCGAGAACTTTAGTCCTCGGGGGCGGCCGCCAAAAACTTTGCTGCGGCCCCCACGGACCTCGGACCAGGGGCCGAAACACGCGATAGCGGAAACGGCAGACCGCAAAAACCACCTGACTGAGGCTCCCGACCGGCCAGAAGACGCTCCAGGGTCTCCCTCCCCAGACGGACCGAGTCCTTGGGCCGAGACGTCCAGGGGCGACACTGTCTGGCCAAGAGGTGGGTCTGCCGTCGGGCGTACGCCCCGCACAAATTACAGCAGACGACCGACTCGTCCCTCCCAGGGGCCCGACCGTCCCCACCCCGCGCCCCAAAGCCACTACGAGTCACCCACAGCCTATGGGAGGGGTGGGCGATCGCCGCGGGCCTGGGCACTCCTGGGCACGGGTGGCAGACGATCCTCGATCGGAGCCCGTTCCTGGCCCCACACCTGCTACAGCCACAGGCCCTCCCAGGACACCCCAAGGCGTGCCCATTGGGGCCCGAGACCAGGGTGAGCACCTGGGGCCGGCACGGCGGGGGAAGGGCCGACAGGTCGGGCCAACCCGCGCCAGCGGCCTTTTTCAGCACCGCGCCGTGGTGGCGCAAGCGCTGCGTCGCGGCGACTGCCGCCGAGCTCACGCGCCTGGCGAGCTCTCCGACCTCCTCGAAGTCGGCGTGCGGCTGGGCCCCCAGCTTGGACACCTTGTCGGCCTCGTGGTTGCCGATGTGCCAGTGGGCCAGCGGGCCCGCACGCTCCGCCGCGGCCCAACTGGTGTGGGCTCTATTCCAATCTCACTCCAGAGCTGCGCGTACTTGCGTTCGGGGCTCCTGCACCAGCCAGGCCCCTTCCGAAAATCAGCCACCACGTTCTTACAGTCCGTGGCCACGCAGAGCTCGCCTTGGGCCGCCTCGCACAGCACCCGAACCAGGGCGTATAGCTCAGCGAAGCCAACCTCCTGCACAATCCCAGGGGCGGTGCCCATCAGGCCGCCAACGATGCTCCCATCATCCGTGACCATGGTGCCTGCCCAGCCAGTCCTCGTGAGCTCCCTACGAGCTGCGGGAAGAAGGCCGAGCCGTCGATGCTGACCGTGCCTGAGAAGCCGCCATGCCGAAGGACACCCGCTCGAAGACACAGCTCGTTCTCAGCGGGGACGGGCGCCGCCTTCGACCCAAGCGGGACGAGGCACCTCACGAAGCCCATGTCCGTGACGTCGGCTGCAGCTCCTGCCCTGCGCTGTCGCCTGTCTTCCAGGCCCGTGTCCCTCGCCACCGTCACCGTGCCCTCGCAGGCGAAGAGTCTGCGGTGGCGCGAGCCCAAACCAACGCCGCACCATCTGCAGTCGGCCGGGGTGGCGGTACGCTCCGCGCACAAGTCGGTCTGGGAGACCAGCCCGCCGCACGCCAGGCTCTCGACCAACGCGACTTGCTCCGCGTCGCCCTGCGCCCTCAGCACGTCCAGCGCCGCCCGCACGGGGCGCAGCGTGGGTAGCCCTGCTAGCTGCCCGTGGAAGTGCGCGGGCGCCGTTCTCAGAAGGGACCTGTGCACTCCCCGCTCGACCACCGTTCTGACCATCTTCGGTCTGTGGAACTTCAGGTCGACCGACTCGCCCCTGTCAGCGATCCACCCCACGACTCCGCGCTGCACGCCCACTCGCCGCCCGTGCCGCACCTGCGGCCCCAGAACGGCCTGCGGGGGCCAGGTGGGACGCCTGCGTTCGTGGCCTGTGGCGGCAGACGCCGTCGCTGCCGCGGCGCAGGCGTGGGCCGCGATCCACCCCCCAGCGCCAGCGGCGCGCGGCGGGCGCCGCCTGCGCACTACCTGCCGGGGCCCGTCCACGAGACGCTTGCGGCAGGCGCGATCCCCCGAGCGACGAGGCGGCGGGGCCCTCGCTCGGTGCCGTGGGAGCCGCGAGGGCAGCGGAGAGCGACGAATGGTGGGAAGTCCCCTCTCCTGAGAGAAAGCTCGTTGCCAGTGCCCGTGCGTGCACGGCGCTCTGAAGGATGTGCGCACGAGACCCTCCCACCTAGGAGAGCCCAGTACGCCTCTTCTTCTTCTTCTTCTTCTCCTCCTCCTCCTCCTCCTCCTCCTCCTCCGCCTGGTGTCAGTGCTCACGGACGCTCAAGAACAGCGATTAGATCGGGTCCTGGCGGGTCTGGCTCGCAAGACCCTCGGGGGCGATGCGAGCAACGGAAAGCAGGAGATGGTTGACGAAAACGGGGGCCCCTTGAGAGGTGAGAACGACAAACCCGTGACCAATAATAGAGCTGACTCGGACGAAGTTATTCTTCGACGGGTGGGGGTGGCACCGACGAGGATCGAGCTGATGGTCCGCAGGCTTCGTATGTATCGGCGTCTGCTTATCTCCCCAGATACTCATGCCCAAGAATTGGGCTCCATCTTTGGCCAGCTCCCAGTGGATTCGGGGCCCGCCATCCTCGATGACGGTCGTTTGCCTTTGGAGGCGAATAGGTATGCAATAAGGTTCGTCGCCGACGTCGTAAAGTCGCTGGGGAGGGCGGGGGAGGAGGAGGGGCTCTTTCGGAATCTCTTCGTGGGCACCGAGGGGGGCGAGAGGTTTAGGTTCTGTGTCAGAGCCTTGCTCATGAACCATGAGCTTCGGGAGCGTTATCTTCAGCTGGACCCTGGGGCACTGAGGGCTGCTGCTCGTGCTGTGGCCATTCCGCCACCTCCTGGGCTCCGCGGCCCTCTTGGGTGCGTCTTCTCTGTCGGTCCCGATCTGCTCAAACACAGAAGCCTTCGAGAGTCGTGATCGGCTGTGCGCTCACCTTCGCCAGCGTTGTTGCATTCGGCATCCATGCTACTCTCTTGATGCACCGCCTGAAGGCGGAGGACCTCGAGGCAGCATGGGGAGCGCAGCCGCTCGAACGGGCGCGGAGGTGGTGCCGTCTTTCGACGCGGCCGCTCTGGGTCAGCGGCTGCCCCCCGCAGTCGAGGAGGTCGGCAGGGGCGTCGAGTGGGCAGCGGCACAGGGCAGCAGGCCTCCCGCCCCACGCCAGCCAGAGGCGGGTGGGGGGTCGCAGCGGGCGTGGGCAGAGGCGGGGCCATCGAGATGGCCGTCGGCAAAGCGCACGGCCAGCCAGAGGACACCCTGGCGAAGCCGCCGCAGATGCCGCAGAGCGCGAAGATCATGCCAGTGCTGGTGAAGGCAGTGCTGGGCAACACGTTCGTGATGAGGCAGCTGCTCTCAGCGGCGTCCCAGACGCTGATCCTAGACGAGAATTCGGAGATAGTGAAGGAGGCGTTCAAGGCAGGCCGAACACATGCGACACGAGCGGCGGCCATGCGCGAGGAATGGAAGTTCGACAATGCCAAGCCGCTGCCCGAGGCGGCGATGATCACGAAGGCAGGGGAGAGGGTCGGGGCTCGCAGCATGGCGCTGTGGGAACAGCAGCGCGCGAATATCGACCAGGTGACCAGCATGGCCGAGATGAGCCTCTTGGTGCGAGGGTTTCGGGTCATTTCCTGCTTCGCGGAGGGGAACGCGAAACTAGTCTTCGCGGACGTGGAGCTCATGAAGATCCTCACCGACTGTCTGGCGCAGCTCGGCGGCGAGCTCAAGGCAGGAGTGGCGCCGAGGTCCAACTCCGAGCGGATCCTGCAGATGGCGATCGACGTCTCGGAGGACGGGCTCTGGCTGGCGTTAGAAAGCAAGCCCGAGGACTGGCCTCCCCGGCGGGCGCGATAGGCACAAGTCCTGGGGATGGCCCCCCAGGCTCGAAGTCGCCACGTGATGTGCTGGATGGCGTCGGATCGCAAACCCATGAGATGGCCTCCCTGGTTAGCTTCGCCACGTTTCAAAGTTTTGGAAGTCCTGGGGGTGGCCTCCCGGGCTCGACGTCGCCACAGACAAGACAGTCCAGCAGCGCCCACAAGTCACGTCTTCCTCACGCGCGGGCACGGACGAATGGAGTGGGTCATTCCTCGTGGGAGGGTGATGCTGATGTACGGGTTGGTGGTTACGTTGCTGGGGCTTTTGGTTTTTGTTCGAATGTGGCCGTTACCTCTGGTGAGGGTATGCTCCACACATCAGCATCGTTTTCTAAACAGAATGTGGCTGATACCCTTGGGGCGGGAATGCTCCGCACATGTGCGGCACCTCCTGCGACGGCGGCACGCTATGAGAGGGAGGCGTTGTCAAAGGCACCGTCTTGTGCCGCTGCCGCTTCTGCCCCTCGTCGTCCCCCTCCTTCTCCTCCTCCTGTGCAGCCCAGACATTGTAGTCTCAAGGAACTTGTTAAACTGGCCACGGGCGGTCCCTTCAGGTAGTTTTGTTTTGGGCCCTCGCTGGACCGCTGGGACCTGAGGGCCGCTGGCCTGAACTCGCTCGCGCTGTTTAGCTTTGGTAGAGCGATAATCCATCGGGCCGTGGGGGCCGCTTCTCGTGGTATATACTGCGCACGGTAGGTCGCACAATTCGAAATTCGTTGTTCGAGTTGCTGTCTGTCGGAGTTCTGCTCGACTCGGCCCTTTATCGCTTCGCCGCCGCCGCCTCCTCCTCCTCCTCCTCTCCTTTTCCTTCTCCTCTTCCTCCTTTTCCTCCTCCTCCTGCTCCTCCTCTTCGCGGGCCTGTTGTCCGCGGCCTCGCGGGCCGGGCCCCTTGTCCGCGACCTCGCGGATGCGGGGCGTTTTCTCGCGGATGCTCCGTGAGGAATGTGCGCGTGCGACCACGCATCCGCGGGATCGCGCCCCGGAATTCAGACCGCGAGGGCGTGAATAAGGACTTGAACGCCGTTCGTGACTTCCTCCTCTTCCTCATCCACCTCCTCCTCCTCCTCCTCTGCCTCCCTCCAACGATCCTCTTGGAACAGCTCGCGCTGCCTGCACCGCAGCCGAGCTCACCTTCCCTCGCGGCTCGGCCGCTCACGGTGGCGGGCGCCGTGGACTTTTCGGAGGCGCTGGGCCTCCCCTCCCTGCAGCGCACTCTGGCCCGCTCGGCCATGCGAGGCAGAGTTGTTGAGCGGAAGTGGTCTAGAGCGAGGATTTCGCTGATGTTCCCAATGTTGGAACCGTTTTCTTGTTCCGTTTTCATGTGTTCGTAGTCGGCCAGCAACGACAGGAAACGCAAACCAACACAAACAACAACACCACATGGCAGCCCTAAACAGTAAGACACATACAAAGTAGAACCGAACCGGGAGCGGAACATCGGAAAGCCATTGAATACGAATGGCAAACGTGATCCAGGTGTGTTTAACATCATCTGAGGCGAGAGCCTATCGCTTCCCAGGGCCCGAATCCCCCCCCGCACCGCCTAACCGCCCTACCACTACTCAGTACGCATACCATTACGGTCGGAAGTTTTCGCTTAGCGTGACGCTTCGCCGGTTCTGGCCCACATGCCTCGGCGCGGCTCGCTAAACACGTCCACGTCCCAAAACGTCAACATCCCGAGCCGCCCTTCCAAGCCTCCCGCCCCGCGGAGCGGAGCCACACGCTATCACCTTGCAGGGCACAGCGTGTCGCCAGGGACGCCGCCGCGACACGCTAAGCGAAAATTTCCTTGACACATGTGCTTCAGGGCCCCGCTTCTCTTACGTGGAGTTCTTTCTTCCAAGGTTTCAAGACCTGTCGCTCCACAGTGTCCTTTCCGATCGGAACGCTTCGGATTGTTAAAATTCGTCGCTGCGCTTCTTTCGTTCAGAACTCCACTCGAGCCATAGTGCGGGCCATTTTTCCCCCTGCTCACCCGCCACGCCCTCCAACGTACGCAGCTCCCTTTTGATTGCGCACCACACGACCAGGTCATTTTAGGGATTGTGGTCTGCTAGGATACCTGGCGGCGCTCCGATAAGCATCGGTGCAATGGCAAGAGATGGGTGGGAGGAGCTGCGAAGTCAGGTAAATATGACGCGCGCGCATCGCTCTTGCCTCCTCCCCCTCGCCATTGTCCTTCTCCAGTTCCCCTCTGTCCACCCCGGACAACCGACACCGACAGGAAGAACACGGGCGGAGGCAGGCGCTGGGAACCCGAAAAGGCACAGCGGAAGGTGGAACATGATAACGCCAGCGCGGATGAGCACGCCGCAAATTGTATCAGTCTAGCCCTGGCCAGTCGTACAGGTTCTTTGGTTTCGCCTCTGTTGGCTTGCCACTGTGTGCAAGACATGTGGTGGCCAGACCAGACACAGCGGCGATTCGCTTGATGCATCAGAACTTGGTGGTAGAGAAGCGGGCGCTAGTCGCCTTACTTGTGAGTGGGTTCAGCCATATTGTGGCAGACTACGGGGAGGGCAGCGTGATGATGGCCAGAAGGCGACGATGCATGTAGCGGAGTGGAACAGAAGCCACGAACGAAATCTGGTACAATTGATGCCTTTTCGGGGCAGGCACTCTTTGAAGCCTCCCGCAAGATCTGCTCGCCCCTACACCTGAGTCTTGCAGTTTGCGGCGACAGCGTGGCGAACCTCATGCCGATGAATCGGCATACTGCCGTTCGCGCCTGCCCCTCGAAGGATGGGCACGGATCCCGGCAACGGGTGCTCGGCCAGAGAGCACTAGAGATTACGATCAGTGGTTTTGGCACATTGACTGGTGTCTCACGCCTTGCGGCCCGACTCCACGGAAGGCCTCCCAGGGGGGAGGTTTGCTTATGAGTTCTGTCGTTCCGCCATGGGGACGCACTCCTTCTCCTATAGTTCGTCCGGGGGGATGTGTGCGAGGTGGTGCGTGGATTGTGGGGACGCAGAGGATTCGATCACTGGGCAGCGGCCGAGAGGAGGTAAGCTATGACGGCTTCGCCGGCCTCGGCTGCATGATGTGCGGAAGGTGAGGGGGCGGAGGCAAGGGCGCCTCCGAGGATGCGAAGTTTGTCGTGCTTCGCGGTTCGGACCCGAATTCTCTTCATCCTCCTATTCTCCCTTGGGCATCGGCGCGAGAGGGCGAAGTTATCCGCGCTTCGCGCAGCGCGAAGCGCGAAAATAGGAGCCCGTGTTACTAGATTATCATACGTCTTGGCTTGTCTTAGCCGCAACGCGGGTGACGTCTGCGAAGCTCGGGTATATTCCCCAGGCCTCCCAGAACCTAGGCCTTTGTGTTCAGCCCCCCCACCGATGTGGGATTCGGGAGGGTGGAGGCGTGGCTGGACTTCCTGGAGGAGAACTACATCTCTGATGCAAACTGGGCCATCAGCGACAAGGACGAATCGTGTTCCGCACTGCGAGAGGGCGCCAGTGACTCAGGACACCTTGCAGCTTGCGGCGGTGTTCCTCGTTTATGCTCTTGTCTCTCCTCTCTAAAACGGAGCAAACGTGCCAAGCCGCCCCATACAATCACCAAAACCGTTGAGCACGGATATGGATTTGACCTCGGTGGTTTCATGACTTAAGCAGGTGAGTGAAAAGCAGGACTCAGTTCAAGCGTCTATTCATGCGCAGGCAACCATGTATCCTGCATGAGCTCGCTGTCAGCATTGCGTTCCGTCGTCTCCACAGCCATCAGCTCCAGCTGGCCAGAGGCCCCAGTGTGAACCCGTTGCTTTGTCAACAAAGCCCCTCTAGCACTAGCGTCAGGTTGGCAGTCGCGTCCCCACGTTGTGCCGTCCCCGCGGCATCTAGCTAAGGTCATACGTCTAGGCATCGCATACTCCAGTTGTGGAACATCTCGTCTGTTTGTCTTGACCATCGCCCTCTGTGCATTAACTGGTCAGCCTGTTATTGCCACTTTGCTCGCGTCGTGATCACATCGGTTCGGGGAGGTTCAACACCCTCACTAGGGTCACGAGTCCAAGCGGTTTGCCTTTTACTGCAGAGGCCACACGGTTGGCTCTGCCGACTCCGCGAAGAGATCCGCAACGACATGCGGTCGGGAACGTTGGTATAGCGTGTCCTTCCGCCAGTTCTTGCTCACCATGTTTCGGCCTGACACGCTAGCCAGTGTCCTGTCCCCCAGCGTGGGCGTCCCGAGCTATTCCCAGCCTCCCGCCCCACGCAGCGAAGCGACAGGCTATCCGTTTGCAAGGCATAGCGTGTTGCCAGGGCCGTTGCAGCAACACGCTATGCACAAGTTCCTGACCGCAGAAGGCGGAATGCAACACAAGGAGCACGGACGAGCAGAACATAGGGATACGAAGCAAGGGCGCAGCAGGAATCGCAGAGTGAATGGGGGCAGGCTCAACGGAAGGCAGAGGCAGCAGATGGGGGAGCACATTGAGATGAGAGGGCCGAGTGCGGGCCGATGTTTGTCCCAATTAGCTGCAGGTTTAGGGGTCATCTTGGCGGGTTCAGGGGCCGTCAAAGTCACCTGAGGGATCCCTGAGGCTGCCTTGACCACCTCGGGGACCACATGGGGGTGTCTCGCAGTCTCTTCAAGGATCTTGGGCCACCTCGGGGGACTATTGGGGACCTCCTGGGGCACTCTTCGTCTCCTCTGGGTGTGCATGAGCAACCGTGGGAGAGAGGAGAAGGAGGAAAAGGAGGGCGATGAGGAGAAAGGAGGATGAGACGCTGATGGTGACGATGATGATGATGATGATGATGATGATGATGATGATGATGATGATGATGATGATGATGATGATGATGATGATGATGATGATGATGATGATGATGATGATGATGATGATTGCGACCCCGACGACATCGAAGGGGTGCACTTTAGCTTCGGATAGCCACCCCGACTTCTGTCAATCGTCCCCTCTCGCTGGGCGTCCTGGTGAGAAGCAGAAGTTGTCGAGGGGCAAACCAGGCAGGACACGATAAGCCGACTGGGAGGAGGGGGGCGGGATTGGGGATCGACGCTGAAAAGCAAGGGCGAAGCGCAAAAAGGCTGAGCAGCGACAGCTAGAAACACCACCAACCGAAGTGTTTAGTCGAACCCCCCGGTGGACATCAAGGAGCAGGACAGGACATACAGCCGGAAACGCTGCGAAAGCGTGCCATGCATACGTGCCACATGAAAGGTCGAGATCGACGGACGCATGGCAGGACACACACGCCTTAATGGCGTCAGCCTAAACGGTGAAGCGCACTGCGGTAGTCATATAGCGCACACTCAACGCAGAAAGAAACCACCTGCGATCGGACACACAACCCCGAAGACGGACACGTAGCAGCACAGCCACGTAGCAGCACAGCCTCTCGAGCGCCCCCAAAGACAACTGATCACCAGGCCGTGGAGCTCTGCAGACATGCGCTCCGTAAGGGGTTGGGGTGCCCGGCCTGCCAGCGGCATCGTGGCCCTTGCAGCTGGCAGGTTCGCAAGCCCGTCCACCAGCAGCCAGCCGTCGAAGACTCTGCCACGTCGGTTCCGAGGAGCGCGAGGAGGAGGAGGAGGAGGAGGAGGAGGAGGAGGAGGAGGAGGAAGAGGTGGAGGAGAAGGAGGATGAGGAGCTGAAGGACAAAAGGAGGAGGAGGACGGCGACGAGGAGCAGGAGGAGGAGGAGGAGGAGGAGAAGGAGGAGGAGGAGGAGGAGGAGGAGGAGAAGGAAGAGGAGCTGAAGGAGAAACAGGATGAGGACGGCGACGAGCACGCCGGGGGCGGCTGCGGAAGCCCGCCGGTGGGCTCGGACTGGGCCGCCGTGGCGGAAGAGCCGGTTGCTGCTGCTGCGCTTGCGGCCAGCCTGTGGGCCACCGCGGCGCCGCTGCGCGACGCGCGGTGGCGCACGGCGAGGGGCCGCGGGCGCGGGCGTGAGCCGACGAGGGAGCACGCTCGCGGAGGACGGCGACGAACAGCATATCCCGAGGGAGCGTGTGAGGAGCAGCAGCAGCGACGGCGGGGGGAAGTGGGAGGGCACTGAGCGCGGGAGGGGGCGAGAGCCCTGAGGGCCGTTCCGGGTCAACCGCGCAGTCGTGTGTTCGGTTGTTGCTGGAACTGCCCCTGGCCCAAGGTGCCCGCAGCTTTTCGCACTATTTTGGAGCCCCTGGGGCCCCCTGGGCCTCGTGAGGGGTGCCCTGAAGGCCGTCTGGGCCACCCCGAGAATCGATGTGTGTGTGTGTGTCTCTGTGGTTTCTTCACCCTGTATTTTTCGGTACACCTCCTGCCCGCACTGACAGTGTCGAGCACTCGAGCCTGACCCCGTCATTTCCCGAAGGTCTGCACGCTCTGGGGGCGATCTGGCAGTCTCGCGGCCTTGCCCTTGCTCTACGCCCCCCAATGTATATATATATATATACACACCCATGAACATATATATATATATATATATATATATATATATATATATATATATATTACTATAAATATATTTATACGTACATACATACATACAAGACTGCAGTGGCGCTCGCGCCATGCACCTTGGTCCTTCGAGCTTCGTTCGCGGGCGGCGTGCGGGCGCGAGCACATGCGCGCGCAAACACGAGCATATATGTCATACGCGCGCGCGTGCATGCACGCCGTATATAGATAGACACAGAGAGAGAGAGAGAGACATACATGTGTATATATCAGAGTGGGGGGGCCGAACGGTCATTCACTGTCCCTGGGTGCGTGGCTGAAGTGGAATTCCGCGGTGCGGGTTTTCGTTGTTGTTGTTGTTGAACATTATTTATTCTAAAGAATAATTATTGTTGGGCCCCCTGGTGCGCGCCCCCCCTGCGCCGCCTAGGCCGCAGCTACATTTTCATCATTTTCGTGAGGAAGCCTCAGAAAAGAGGGTGTGTACAGGATCCGGTTGTTTTGTTGTAATCCGCTTTCCCTTGCAAAAAACAATAGAAAATGACATTTCTTGTTCTAATATAATCAAATTTCAAGAATCCCTTGCAAAAAATAAGGTAAAGTGGACATTCGCGCGCGCAAGACGAAATCCTTCCAAAACCTTAGTGTTCGCAGCGATTTTAACATAAAAACATCAAAAAACCAATGGTTTTTCAACAAAAAAATGTCAAAATCTCATCCCGCGCGCTCTTGCGGATTCGTAGGAAACCCAACACTTTTTAAACATTTCTGTCAAACGGGCTTTTGCGAGCAACTTTTTCGAACTTCTGCGACAACGGTTGCGCACCTGCCAGGGCCATCATCCCTGTCAAATAATACCATGCGGGACACATTCGTTTTTTCTTCGCGCGCGCACGCCGTCGTCGTCGGCCGCGGGGCCCTGAATAGTAGCCACGGTCGTCCGCATGCCACGAAGTGAAGTGTCCGAACGTCATAGGGCGGGAAGCTGGGTGTGGGTGGTGGCGAAGAGTCGTTTGGAAATTTGGTAGAGCTTGAACCGGCCCCCCCACAAAGTGGGGGTATTGCCCGCCTCCTATGAAAACCCTGGCACTGGTGAGAACGGAGTGTCCCCACGTGCTAGTAATTGTTGTTGTTGTTGTTGTTGGTGTTGTTGTTGTTTGTTGTTGTTTGTTGTTGTTTGTTGTTGTCGTCCCACCCGCAACCCGCCCCGCGACCCACCCGCGACCCACCCCGCGACCCACCCCGCGACCCACCCGCGACCCACCCGCGACCCACCCGCAACCCACCCCGCGGCCCACCCCGCGACCCACCCGCGACCCACCCCGCGACCCACCCCGCGACCCGCCCGCGGCCCACCCCGCGAGCCACCCGCGACCCACCCGCGACCTACCCCGCGACCCACCCGCGACCCAAACCACGTTCAAGGTACAAACCACCATTTTCGGCGCCTGCGGCGGGCTTTTTTGCATTCCTTCCAGGTGGAGAGCCCGCGACCCACCCCGTGACCAACTCGCGACCAACCCGCGACCCAACCCACGTTCAGGGTACAAACCACATTTTTCGGCGCCTGCGGCGGGCATCTTTTGCATTCGTTTCAGGTGGAGAGCCCGCGGCCCACCCGCGACCACGTTCAGGGTACAAACCACATTTTTCTGCGCCTGCGGCGGGCATCTTTTGCATTCGTTCCCGGTGGAGAACCCGCGGCCCACCCGCGACCTAAACCACGTTCAGTGTACAAACAATTTGTTTGGCGCCTGCGGCGGGCTGCTTTTGCATTCCTTCCAAGTGGAGGTGGAGAGCCCGCGACCCATCCGCGACCTAAACCACGTTCACTGAACAAACCAATGCCGCACAAGCGCGGCGGCGGATTTTTGCATGCCGTCTGAGCCCGCAAGGACCTCTTCAAGCCCCGCGCATCCACACCAGCCCGTCCAGCAACTCTGCCCTGGCGAGTTGCCTTGATCAGAGAAGGCGGGGAGCATAAAGTGGAAAAAAGGATTGCGTTGCAATTATCTTGGGAAAGGAGGGGGAGGCAGGAGGAGTAAACAGGGGACGAGGAGAACGC